TCCCTAGGTCTTGTCTCATTGTTATGTGCACATATTTGTACTGTGAATATAAAACTGCAAGAGGAAGGAGGCCTCATGGCATTGGTAGATTCTTTTTCTCTCTATTGTATAGCAATATCAAAAAGATATTCTTTTATTTTCATTGTAACCTTATTTATATGAAAAGGACATGGCTGTAGAACTGCATCCTAGACGCTAATCAAATCAAATAAATTGGTGTTAAGATTGTAGTATTACTTATTGCTATAGTTCCAGGTGGAATTTACTGTGAAGAAAAGCAATTGGTTTAATATCTGACAAAATGCAGCACTTAATTTGCTTTCCTCACAAGCTTCCTATAAACACAAGCTGGAGTAGACCAATAAGAAGCTATGATCCTGGAAAAATGTTAGTTTAGATATGCCACTTTCTCCCTCCCCAGTGTTGAATATCCTGTAAAAAAACTGATGAGTGAAATCCTTGAATGAAAGTTTACAGGCAAAACCTTTAGATGAGATTGGGTAATGTACCAGGTGTGCATTCTGAGGATTTCTATCAGATCCTGATCTGTTCAGCCTTGCTGTAACCATCAATTTATTACTCCTGGATGTGTCTGTGTGAACAAGAGATAAGCATAGGAGACCTACCTTTTCCATTTTTTTTACAACAGAGAAAATATAGAAACAATTTATATCAGGTTAAAATTGCGTCTCATTTTTATGAAGCTATCTGAGAAGCAGCTGTTCTCTACAGACATCAAACCACCTTGATAAATGACTATCAAAATCAGAGACTGCCCCAAGACTGCATGGTTATTTTTAGCTGCTTCATTGCTATAGCAACATGCTATAACGAGGGAGTGTGTTGCTACAGCGATGTAGCTACAGTGTCACAGTTTGTGCCCTCCTACGCTATGTTGCAAAGTGCATTGCTACAGCAATGTAGTGTCTTGTGTAGATGTGCCCAGTATGTCTGTATCCTAGATACAAAGGATCCATGTCCTAATTAATTTCCACTCATGACTGGAACCAGGTGTTCTTATCACAAGTCCTGGTACCATCCCAAAATGTAGATGCAGATGGAGCACAGGGCTTCCTGGTCTTTTCCCACTAAACTTCCTGCAACCCTGCAATGGGTCCCTACTGCCACCAGCACCAGGGGGAGCTCAAGGCTTCAGCTGCCAGCAACCAGCAGCCATCTTCAAAAGGCAGTTCTGCTTGCTGATCTTTGGCCAGAAACTTCCCTAGCCAGGAGCAGCATGTCCAGTGCAGGGACAGCACGTGGAAGCTCTCTCCTTGCCCAACTCTGCCTCCCTGTGCTATGGCTGCTCCAGCCCCTGCCCCTAGCAGCAAAGACCAGTGCCCTGGGCTCCTTCTGGCAGCTGTGCCAGCTCTGCTGGCCTACTATGTGAACTGCTGCCTGGTCCACAGCTGTCTGGGCCCACCCAGCTCCCCCCCCATGCAGTGACTGCCTGCCTGGCTGCAGCACGCCATCCCAGGGTCACTGCCATGCAGCTCCCACCAGCAGGGATACTGAAGAGGTGTTTCTGGATGCCACTGTCAGGGCCACTGTTGCTCTCCTGGGCCTCCAGCCCTGCTGCATTGGGCCCTCTATGCCAGCCAGGACTGGTGGTGGCACATTGTCCAGGACACCCGGGATGACAAGCAGTGGCTGGAGGACTTCCACATGACCCAGGACACCTTCTGGGACCTTATGGAGCAGCTCTGGTCACACCTGGGGTAGCAGGACACAGGCATGCAGCCACCCCTTCCCGTAGACACCCACCTGGCCCTCGCCCTGCTCAAGCTGGCCATGCCAACCAACCTGCAGTATATTAGCCACCTGTTTGGTGTGGGCAATGCCACCACTAGGGAGGCCATCATGGAGGTGTGCAGCACCCTCCGGGACATGCTGGCAGACACCATGCTCCGTATGCATGACCTCGTGGTGGTAGTGGCAGGGCTCTGTGCCCTGGGTTCCCCCAGTGCATAAGGGCCCTGGACAGGACCCACATCCCCGTCACCTGCCCACACCACAGGGACCAGCCCTACTACAGCTGCAGGGGATTTCACTCCATGGTGCTCCAGGCCATCATGGGCCACCATAAGGCCTTCACGCAAGTGAGTGCTGGCTGGGCAGGCAGTGCCCATGATGCCCACATCTTCTGGAACTTCAGTCTGCTGGGCCTGGTGGAGAGAGGCTGCTTCACACTGGGGTTGCTGGACCTGCAGCTGGGTGCTATGCCCATCCCATCCCTCCTCCTTGAGGACCTCGCCTACCCACTTCTGCTGTGGCTGATATGGCCCTACACTGGCCACCTGGATCCCTGCCAGGCCCACTTCAATCACTTCTGGGGCTGGACCTGCGGTCTGTTTGCGTACACCTTCGGGGCACTCCCACCCCACTGCTCTCCACCCCAGATGGCCCACAAAGGACATCTGGATGTAGTTTAGTTTGCAGTGATGCATTGCAGTTGTCAGTTCACCCCCTGGCCGTGGGAGAGGTGGGCAGGCTCTGCAGAAGATAAGGATTGGGCCCCCTGCTGCTTCTGCTTTCAGTAGGTGTCTACTGAAGGCAAAGGTGGCAACAGGCCTGATCCTTTTTCTTTTTGTTTTGTTTTGGCAGAGCCCATTCACCTCTCTCACAGCAAGGGGGCAAGCTGTCAGCGGGCTGAGCGGCCCGAGCTGTGGGAGACCCTGGTCCTTCCCTCCATGGTGGCAGCATTTCCCTGGGCTGCCCAGGTGGGCTGCTAGTGGGCTGGGTGCTGCACCAGTTCAGAGGCAGCACCCGCCCGATCCAACTTTTCTCCAAACCCAAGCTAGCTGGAGCAGCACTTGGCCCACTGGCAGCCTGCCCGGGTGGCCCTGGGGGACTGCTACTGCCACAGAGGGAAGGACCAGGGCCCCCCACAACTTAGGGGCCACTTGGCCTGCCAGCAGCTCACACCCCAGCTGCGGGCAGGCTCCAACAATAACAAAAAAAGGATTGAGCCCGTCACTGTAACATGATAGAAACATGGAAATGGGTTTCAATTAAGAACCCACTGTTTCAATTTAGGGGGCATAGAATGCAATTTTGGGGATTAAACCCCTGTCACATGTACAAGCACCCTTTATATCTACATCTGGACAAGGACCCTGGGCAAAAATAGAACAGGTGCATTGTTTTGTGTCATTCTTTTCTCATTGCTTATGCTTTTGTTTTGATAGAGAAAAGGCAAGCACATTAGCATAGGGCTATGTTGATGGTATGGGGGCTGCTGCCACTGCCAGTGCACCAGCAGCATGGAGCCAGTGTGGACGTGGCTCAGCTGTCAGGAGTTTCTCTGCTTCTAGTGCCCTGAATGATGGAAGCCTTGCTGCCAGTTTACTGTCCACAATAAGATCAGCTAAGATCACCTCCTGTAGCCAATGTGGTTCTGCCTCTAGACCACTGGAATGTGGAAAGGGCTGAGTCTAGATTATTATAACATAGTTCAGTAGAAACCTGTCAAGAGCATATTGTGGCCAATGATAATATGAGTTTAACTGCTCACTTAGCAGAGTTAAGGGTAAATTCTTATATAATTAATGCCATTTATAACTGCTTTTTTCTGTGTAATATTACTGTGTAATTACCTTCAAATACTGCCACCCTCTATTTTTATAGAAAATAAAGAGTGAAAATCTGAATGAAATTATGATCTTGTGCTTGTTCTATTGGAATGGATTGGGTTTAAAGGATAAAATAGGAGAAAAACAATGTTTTTCCAGCTGGTTCAAGATCTGCTTTTTACACCTCTGGCATAGTTTTAAAACCACAAACCTGTATTGTTTAAAAACAAATCACTTAATTTGGTCTATTTGTTTAAAGAGGTTTCTTGTCTTGGCTAGGAGCCAGATTGAAACTCTCTGCTGGCATTAAAAATATCAGCAGTATTCGTCAATCCCAAATAATTTCTTGTTGTTTCTGAAAAATCAGGTAGCCAACAGATAATGTATAAAAATTAAGGTCTATAGAATTTGGTGGGAAGTATATGGTGCATTTTTTCTCCTCAAAGGGTTCTTTCTGTTAATTTGTTTTGTTTTTATAAATTCAGAAATTTTACTTTATCAAATGTTGGCAGCCAAAGCTTTTCTATGAAAGTTGTTTATGGCTGCTGCTAATGTTGTATTTCTTTCTGTTTTTGGTGTTCCAAAGCCAAATTACTGTGACTAATGTACTACTGTAAAATTTTGTAGCCATCTACAGTACTGCTGTCTGCACGTGATATATGGTATCTTTTTAGTGAATTCTTTTTTTATGTTACACAAAAATGGCATTTCTGCTATATCAGTTTAGCATATGGTAAAACATTTCAGTGATATATTGTGGTGTTCCAAAAATACGTTAACTACTGTATATGGAAAAATGGCTATACCTATACTGATATCCCAACACTTTATAGACAATTCCTAAGTGGGAAGTGTATACAGGTGGCTTTTAAGTCAAGAAGATGGATAAAAAGGAGAAAAAGTTCTTGTAGGTCTAAAATAGATCTATGTGCATGGAACAGAATACCTTGTATTTTGGGATAAATTAATGCCTTTTCTGTTTATTTTTGCTAACATATTCTTTCAACTGCTACATTAAACCTACTTATTGCCTAATCCTGGTTGATACACTAAAAGAATAATAGAAATCCCTTTTAAAGTAGATGTGGGACGGTGCATTGTAAAATGATAAGCATCCTTTCTCCTTTGCCTTTTTTTCTCTTCTATTTTTTATTGTAAAGCTCAGCCCAAAAGTAATATATCATGGTCAGACAGTGGATATTTTACTAACAGGATCTTTTTTATACCCATCATTGACACATTTAATTTATTAGGTTCAAAAATCCACAAGTAAATTTTTGCAGACTATAAAACATAGTTTTATCCAGTGAGCAACAAAGGTGGAAAAATTATGTTGTAATAAACATGGAAAGTGGTCTTCTATAGAGACTTTTTCATAAATTTATCTAGTCTGTTTGTATATGTAATTCAACTGTTTCTTGTTTTCAGACCGCAGAATGGATCTATGATCCTGTATAATAGGAAGAAGGTGAAATACAGGAAAGACGGATATTGCTGGAAAAAGAGGAAAGATGGAAAAACCACTAGAGAAGATCACATGAAACTGAAGGTTCAGGGAGTAGAGGTAGGAGAACAAAGGATTTGCTTTTGAGTGGAAGGAGAGACAAAGAGGAGTGCTTCCATGAATCATTTGTTCATGTATTTCTGTCAGTGTTTTGAAAACAGTCTTTATATTTGCTATTTTCTTACCCTAAAAACATCTCCGTATTACAGATTTTGGTAAAATTTGAAGGTAGCTCCACCTCCACATTGTATTGGTGATCTCAAGTTGTCATGAAGTTAAACGAGTGTATTGTTGAACATATCGAAGTGTTGGGAAATACCTTTCAGCGGGGTGCTTGCTGTTCTATCTACAGCAAACACCAACAAAAGCAAACAAACATCTCCAGCATGGGTTGCTAAGCATTTGCAAATCTTCTTCTTTTTGAGAAATGTGTAAGCCTCAGTATTTCACATGTACATATTAATCATATACATAGTATTTGGTGCTTGTCGGTCAGAATTTCAAGAGGGGCACTATAACTTGCACTACCTTGCATGTGCTTATTAAGCACCTGATGTTGGTCCCAGAGGAGGCAGAGGAGAATAGGGCTCTTCTGCTGGATGAGCCCCTAATTCGAGATGTGTTCTAAAAGTACGTTTCAGCACTGTGGTGGTTGCTACACTATTCAAAGGAGGTCTGATGCTAATGACTTCACCTGATGCTTATAAATTTCCTTCTGGAAGATGCATATTTTCTTTGTACTGTGTGACTGTTTGATTGTGCTTCCCCTTCCTGTATCTTGTGCCTGGGAAGGCAATTCCTGTGCATGAATATGCATGAGAGGTATAGAGAAGTGTGGAGAAGGTACATTTAGTTAAATATGACTTTTCCCTAATTCTGCCTATTAAAAGATTCCCCCATTTACCTCAACAGTGATGCTCTCACTGGGTGCAACTACATGTTATGGTACATTAAATTTAGTATCTGTAATGTCTTTTTACTTTGTGCTTTGGGCCATAGTGAGAGAAAAAAATGTGTAATTGATTTATGAAGGCAGCCTTCAAGGAAGACTCTGGGACAAGTGACCAGTGAATTGATAAGTGTGTGTTTGCGCATGCATGTGTATGTATCCTTCTAGGAATATTATTCCTGAAGGAGGTCTTTTGAGTTTCAGAAATATATTTAGGTAAACTTGATTGATTTTTTTTTTCTTGTTTATATGATGTATTGATTCTAAGAGGCCTGAACCTGCCTTCAGTGACTTGGGCATAACTCCTTCTTTAGTTGATAGTGGTGATTAACTGTGGATCAATTGAGTCCAGCATCTCCAAGCATATGCAACAACTGTAATTCTGCATTAACACCAGCCATGAGAGTAACAAAGATTCCTGTACCCCTCAAAAAACTGAGTTCCTCTTTATTCAAGAGAAGACTAGGTGGAGATGCAAGTTGTACAGCATCCTCTGATCAGGTTCTTTTGGACCGAAGCATGGAAGTCAGGTGCTTTCTGCTGAGAATACTTTGGCCACAGATATACAGATCTATAGACTGTCAGGTCAAACAGCTCAGCTTTTAGCTGTCAGGTAAGGTCCTCACAGAATCCCAACTAGGTGTGGCTTTATAGACTAGAAACCACTCTCAGGGCAGCATTTGGAAATAATCTAGAAATCAGTGCAGTCTGTGGAGCATAGATGTAATGTGTTTCTTGCACTGTATACCTCTAAATGAGCTTAGCAGCTTTCTATGCTAAGAGGGGGCAGGTGTAATTCCAATGAGAGTGTTCCAGTGAGTCTGTCCAGAGGTGTCAAAACCAAGAGAACTATGACAAAGAATGATTACAATCTTTTTTGCCATTAAGTAGGTGAAAAAAGGATGTTGACCAGTCAGCTATGTGGGCCCCTGGAATCATCAAATCATAATCCCACTCACCACACCTGGTGAAGTGCCGCTTCACAAAAGCTATTAAATGTGTGTGCTATTAAATATATGCAGGGGTTTAGGTTGTAGCTGTGCTGGTCTAAGGACATAGGCAGACGAGGTTCCTTGGGTGAATTTGATATCTTTTATTAGACCAACCCAAATACTTGGAGAATATTTATTAAGCAAGCTTTCGGGTTCAAAAACCCTTCGTCAGGCTAAGGAGGTTTCAGCAGTCCATTAAATATATGAGCATGGCAATCAGTGTAGTTGGGAATACTTGCATGCTTAAATTGGATGATTTGGGGTCCCTGACTAGCACCAACACTGTTTTATCCAGATTGAGCCTTAGCCAGCTTGCTCTCATCCAGACTCCAATCTAGGCCAGAATTTGAGAAAGCCAAAAGATTGTATCATCTGAGTCAGATAATACAGAGCAGCACAGCTGAGTATCTGCAGCCTGAGGATGACACTGCAACCCAAACTAGCTCACTGTCCCCTCCTACTTCAGTTTAGGCATGAGACCTATTCTAGTAATGACCACCTAATGGGGTATGTGGAAATAAAAACATAGGCGTGGAAGGGGCAATAGCCTGTTACTGCAGGCAACCTCATCACTTGAACTCTGTCATCAGTTTGTCAATCAGCATCTTCAGGCTGGTCAGATTTCTTGCCTCTGATACTCTTATTGAAAGGCTGTTCCTGAGCCTTGCTTCCCTGATACCTAAAAATCTTCTAATTTCTAGACTGAATTTATCATATACATTTGTTTTTATACAAATGCTTCCCTTTTTCTTTTCTCATTCTCTTGGGCTTACCCTGCTGATATGATAGGGATCTACTGAAATTGCAATTTTGTGATTTTCAGAGAAGCTGCGATTTCAGGCAATCTTGGTGAAAAAGTGCGGGCCTCGGAAAAAAGCACAAAGTCACTGGGGGTGGGGAGGCAGGAGCGGGACTGTAAGAACAGAAAAGGGGTTGGGAGCCCTTGCATCCTGAAGCATGGGAGGAGGGAAAGCAGGGGAAGGAACAGGGAGAGGGAGCAAATTGGAGGCTGAGCCCCTGATGTAGAATGGAGTCCAAGATTGGAGGTGGCAGCTCCACCCCGCCTCTTGCCTCCATTCTATTCCCTATCATTTCTGCATAACCCGACTGCTCTTCCATAGCCCTATTTTGGTAGTCTAAGCAGGAAAAGCTCTTCTCACTTGATCTTGCAAGGTAGTCTCTTCATTCTCCTGATGATCCTTGTAACCCTTCACTGCACTTATTTCAGTTTCAGTTCTCTTGAATTTTGGTGTCTAGTACTGCACACTAATTCCAGATGATGTCCTGTTCATAGATATCCTTCAATGTTTGATATTGCTTTGCAGAATGAATTGTGGGGCATATAAGACCACTTGAATTCAGTGAACTGATTACTACGGGTGTGCGAAGTGGGCCCTATTCTATTCAGATTCGGATTCGATGCTGGAAGATGCCATGGTTTATGTGTGTCCAGACCAAAAATCAAACACAAGACAAACCAGTTATCAGGAAAATTAACAGTAAAGGCTAATAGGTAAGGCACTGGAGCAATTTTGAATTGAACTGAAGAACACCTTTCAGTGACAATAAGACTTAGATCCCACACAAGAAGTCAATACCGATGTAACATATGATCTTTTTTTACCTGACAATATCACGATGTAGCAACCACTGCAGATGTCTTTTAGACAAGGAAATCTAAAGCTTACAGAGCTGTGCAAAGGAAAAAGAAGAACCAAAGCAAACACCACCTCCCCAGCAACACCGAAGAAAAAGGAAGCCGCTAAAAAAATCTTTCTGAAATAGATTCCAGCCAGCAGGAGCAGCTGCTGAAGCAGCCAAAGCAGGGAATTTTGCTTTGGGGAGAGAGGGAGTTAAATGGGAGCCCAGCCATGGACACCTCTCTTCCTCTCCTCTGCACTTGTGCACCGCCTGTATCTGGAATTGTCCACTTTTTCCCACTAGTGTGCACAAGTGGTTCCCATCACTCCCTGTGCCATGTATCCTGAGAGGACTCTGCAGAGAGAAGCCAGCTGGAGAGTCCAGCTGGTGGGTGGGCAGGGATGACTGACCATTCTGAGAGCTTTTTCAGACCCTTTCTGAGTAGTTGTTTGCTCCAGCTCTCCCCTGACCCATTCCTCACATTTACTGCACCTCAGTTTACTCCTCACCTGCTCCTCTTAGTTCTTTCTCTCCTTTCCTACCCTGCTCACCTATTTTCTTTCTGTGCTCCCCTCCCTTTCCTTTTCTTTCCATGTAGCTGATTCTTTCCTAATGAAAGACAGCCAAAGTGTGAATGTCTTGTGGAGCTCACATTCTCCTTGCTGTCATTACAGTGTTCAATTCTGCTGATTGACACCCTTTCCAATACTTCTTGTCTGGTGCTCACCCTAGATTGAGTGGTCTAGTTTACAGGTATGCCATTAAATGACCTCAGCTTTGTGAGTCTTTGAGGCTGCCATTCCTGCTCCTTCTAGTACTTTCAGGAATGAGTAATCAAAGGTGTAGTCCTGTGGTTCTCAACTTTAGATTCAAGACATCCCTTGAAAAATGCCAGCTCTCAGAGCTTTTAGCTTTCACTCATTTTTTGACTATGGAAAAATAATAGAGTAATTCTTCTATTACAAAGAACTAAAAGAAGACCACATCAGGTCAGAAATGGTTTTGATACTTAGGGTTCCTGTTTGAAATCTCTGAGTTTATCATATGAATCATTTGCAGGTGTTTGCACACTTAACAGTGCTAATGATGTGTGGCACCCTTAAAAGGATCTTGAGGCACTCCAGAGTGACACAACACCCTGACAGAGTATTACTGGTGGAGTCAAACCAAGCTGGGAAAGTGAAGACCATTGCTACTCATTTGAATCCCATGCTTCTCCTCCACTTCCTCTTAGAGCAGACTGAGCTACACTCTTCCTGTGGTTGGAAAAGCTGGCCCTGCCCATTGGTTTGTAGACTCATTTGCAAATCCTTTGCAGGGAGTGCTTAAATCGATGTGGTTTGTATCTTGTAATGGCTCTAGGAAACTCCTTGCTTCTGGGACAATCCCAGACCCATATTGCCTGGCCCAGCCACTGTAAACATCCTGGATCACTGCCCAGCTAACCTGTGGTACAATGATGGCTTCTCACT